TTATCAACCAACCTTGGACTTGTGCTGTAACCACCCTTCCCGTGCGCCTCCCCCTTTGAGGAGAAGGGGTCGGCGGATCAAACCATCGTATCGCATGCATTCAAGACTACGCCACAGAACAGACTGAATGGCACCTTGTGCAGCGGGAGGTCTGGCAAGGGCGAGAGAAGCCCGTTGGCAAGGAGGGACGGTCGTAGAAGGCTGGGCACTTGGACGTGCCTGGGGTAGTTGCGTTTTGGGATGACAATTTTGCTGTACATCAAGCACTTGTTTCTTGTTGGCCAAGCCACTCGGGAAGGGAGCCATGGAACCCGACATGCACCCTACAAGCCTCTTTTGAGGGACCCCCTCTTTGGGCAAGTCATGTGGTTTACAGCAGGGTATCCTGCCCAAGAAGCAGGGAACTTCACTGGGCGGGTGTTAGGGGAAAATTGTCGAAAACCAGGCATTGCCTGAAAGAGGTACCATGGGCGGTTCCCCTCTCCGCCCTCAAAAGCTGGTACAAGCCACGTGAATGTGGCGCAGATGTAAATGGTTTAGAAATGGAGGGTCTGTGGATCACATGGGCCTGTTGGTATCCTTGTTGGGTGGCTTTGAGGGGAAGATTTTCAAAAACATATGGGCCATCCACAGTCATTTTTAGCAACTGGCAAACTCTCCATATAATTGTCTCGTACGACTTTGCGCTGTAGCATTTCACGGAAAAGGGTGCAATTGTGGTTGATTAATTGCAGACGCAGACAGGCAGCTTTCACCTCAGTGAGTGTTTGTCTCTAGCTGACTGTTTGCGCATGTTGCTCTCTATGCCAAGTTGAAATTGTGGAAGCCATGCCATGTGCACGGTCTGCTTCCTGCAATGCGTGATAGATTCCTGAAGAGAGCGGCACTTTGTCGAGGAGTCGAAGCGACAGCCGCGGAGTAGCTCGAGGTGGGAGCACGAGAGCTCCGACTGGGGCATGCCCGATGAAGATGCCAGTTGGTGTTTGCGTCCTGTGTGTCTTCCTGTGTTGGGATTTGGCCAGCTGTTGCTTTGTTGCATTGCTTTGCCGGAGGAAGTGCAGGAGCCTCAGCCGCCAGCACAGCTGTAGTGAGAGCTGAGGCAGGTCAAGTGTCGTGTGGCTTGAGCTGTGCCCCAACCCAAAGCGTTTGCATCAGCTTGGCGATTTGCATTGCTGGAACCCTCCGACAACTATTGAGAACTAATAGGCTGGTAGAACATGGGAAAGCCGTCAATGAATGTTGGGGCCGGTGCATGCAGTTCCCCTCATTGAAGAGACCCAACAATACAGAGGATCAGAGGAGGTTTTTTCAGAAAATTATGAGTTTTGCGGCGACTGGGCAAAGTTAGGTCAAGAACCAAGAGCATCATGCCCATGCGAGCTTAAGGAAGTCCCTTCCTGTATCCATAGTCCTGCTGGGGTGCGCCAGGCTTCTGAAAGCGCACTGGGGCTCTGGGAGGACGGCGACAGCGACAGCTACACCTACACCGAGGGCAGCGTGCACCTGTGCACGGAGCCAGCCACCGACAGTGAGCCAGAGCCGGCCACGCGGAGCTGGACGACCAAGTCGAAAGCCAAGGCGAGAAAAGCCAAAGGATCTGCCTCCACGAGGCCTGGTCCACTGGTGCGTCTTGATGGGATGTATTGCTTGAGCACAGGAACTGCGCTAGACTCTCTGGACTGATTTGAGACCAATAGCCTGAGCGGAGAGAGCATTGGTAGGTCGCTCAAGTAATGTAAGTTGATGTGGCGTGCGTTCTTTAAGTGCCTGCATCCTCAACAACTTTGGTATGCTGACTACATGTTCAGACTATATCGACAACATTGTGACCGCAGAGAGAGGAAGAGACTGTCAATGCCAAAATATTGCCTGATAGGTTTCCCGCAGCCTATCAAGCCGTGCCGTTTGTTGGTTTGATTGCGGCTGGTTGTAGGGAACAGCTTCAAACAGTCGCAAAGCAATTCTCTGTTTTTCTTTGGGTACCCCTATGTTTGGTGAAACATGGCAATGCTTCTCTTTGGTTGCTGCAGTTGATGACAGGAATCTGGGGTAACGCTCCTGCAAGTTCAAATGTCGCCGTGCTATATGCATGTGGCGATGGCCTACCTTTTGTCTCCTGTCGCAGGCCCCCAAAGAGATCCAAGGCCGGGCCATGCGTCCGTGAATGGAAGGCAACGCGCCATTGAGGGCTGCATCCAATTCCGAAGGTAGAAATGTCAGTGTACGGCAGGTCCGTTTGTCATTGACCGGTTGTGATGACGTGAACTCCGTGGGTTGGCAGTGTGCGCAGTATGCTGGCGGATTCAAATGAAAGTTGTGATGGGCGCGGCACATTGGTGTTGGGACAACTTATTAGACAAAGCCGCAGAGCGCGCTAGGCTTGCTGTTCTTGAGCGTCAGGCCCCTGCCGAAGTGGCAAAGCCAGAACCAGAGCTTTGACTGCATGAGCGCAGGTCTTTGCCCTGCTTGCTAAACAGCTGGGTAGAAAGCTGTTGGCTGTTGACCTCGTGGAAGAACTAAGGTTTTGCCATACCAAGGCCTTCCAATAAGCCTCACCCGGGCAATCCCTTTACTGTAAATGGTAAAAAGGGCAGCGCCATGGATTCCCGTAGTTGCAGTGAGTTTGTGGTGGCAATTGCATTCCTTGTCTTCAATTGCAAACCAGGAATGCTTTTGTGGCTTGGCGTGCATGTGCTTTCCCGTGGGCACTCCTTGGTGATCGTTCACTACTGTAAGGTGCCGGGCTAGAGCAGTTTCCCAATTCAGAACTCATACCTTCTCTGAGAAACAGGAAATAGATCCACTTGCCTCCGTTCTCGCAAGCCTTGCCTCCGCAAAGCTTTGCCCGAGCTAAGGAGGCAGTAGATCGCAGCTCCCAAGAGGCTTCAGGCACGCTGGGATAGCGAGCTCCATGTCGGGCTGGCTTGTCCACTCATCTCAACATATAGGGGATGAAGCATTGTAGCTAGCTCCTGGACGACTCGGAAGCCAATTCGCTTCATGTTGGAACAGCGAGGAAAGACAGAAGGCAGCAGCCCATCTTCGTCGTCGAGCAACTAAAGCTCTGCAATTTCCGTTGAGGACTGTTGAAAAAGAGCATGCCAATCGGTTGAAACTTTGGCTTGTATATTACACTGTGGTTCTCGTGGTGCTTAAACGGCCGCATTGGTAGAGGAGCATGGGGAGGACTCTTCAATTTCAAGAGGCATGTGGAAGGGCACACCGATGCTTTGAAGCAAGAAGGACGGTCAAGACAACCTGTGGTGGAATGGTAAGGGATTTGAGCCAAAACGATTCTTAGGTTTGATCCAAACTCCAGGCCTGCAATCCATGTCCACCCAATGCCCGCAGAACTGCAGGACGTGATGGTCTGGAAGCAGTTGAGCGACAAGCTTCGGAAGGCGCGCCAATTTTTGCACAACTCTGCCCTGGCTGCCCTGGCTGCCCTGCTGCCTTCGACCCCAGACCTTCCCTGCCGCTGGATAGATTATGTTTCTTCCTAGGCAGGCGGACTCCCTGAGTTTGGGCCTGAGGCGGGTCCACATCCTCCTCCTGAGAAGCTAGCACATCGCAGCTAGCGGCGTGTGCCGCCAGCTGGTGCAGGAGGAAACGAGTTCTGCAGTCGACTTGGTGGCCTGTTCGCTTCTGGGGTTGGCCTTTTGTTCGTGTACAAAAGCTGTAGGTACCAATCGTACCAAGGGCAAACACCTGGTGAGTGAGGATGCTTTGAGGGTTACGCTGTGGATCCCCTAGGTCCTGGGGGGCCTCAGATGCCCAAATCATTCACCAGGGCATTGAGGGGTGTTCCAGAGCTGACCGGCTCACTGCTTCCAGCTCATCCACCAGACAACTCCAGTTCTAGGGCCGAATCGTACGGTAAGCAGCATCACACAGGTCTTGGCATGACATGGGCAAAACTTGGGAGGGCAACGTGCGCCCGCGTGTTTGCGGATCAAGACCCCACAGCAGACGCAGCTAGCATTATGCTCCAAACCCTTTCGGCAGAGCTGCATGCTCAATGCAGCCCTTGCAAGAGAATACACAAATTGGGGAGAAAGCCGGGCATGATAGCAGACAAGAGTTAACCACTACGGTTTGCCGTTGCGCCGTAGAAGCACATGAGGTGTGAGCCTGAATGCTGTGCTGTGGGTGTTGCAATATTTATTCATCGCAAGCAGGCTTGCTTCGTTGCCGTGCCCACGGTGTTTCCACTGAGGTGGCCCCATTCGATGGCCAGTCTTGACAGAGCTTAGGCTTAGGCCGGGAGAGCATTCATGTTGCCCGGCTCAGGATCTTTTGGCATGATAGGGGGCTTCCGCCAAGCCTTTGGTTTTTGACGCGTGTCATGTCTCATGTGTCATTGGGTTTGGGTTTTGGGTTTAAGGCTTGGGGGTCTGAGGGCGTTGGCCGCAAGGAGCCGGAGTGAGCCGGAGCTGCCTTGCCAACCTTCACGGAGATGCTTTAAACATGTGATCACTTTGTTCAGTGACTTAGGGTGACTCAGGGACTTTTGCTCAGTGATGCTCAGTGATTTGTTGAACTGATCGGTGGGTAAGGGTGTCCGGCCAAGCCTCCGGAGTCAAAATGGAAGGCTCAAGTAGCGGAGAAGTTCTCATTCTGAATCACTCCGTCTATAAATGGGGAAGATTCAAGGCTTGTTTTTGCAAAGTTGCAAGGATGACTTGGAGCTGCGATGATGCAGAGGCACGGGCAGGGTTGAAGGCATTAATGAGATCTTGACTTCCATGGGCAAATGCATAAAGTCATATCGACCCCGGAAAAATCAATCTTGTGGATTATTGGGGTCAGCAAAAAGTCAGGGATTCCTCCTCAAACGGGATGCCGTGTATCAAGCACGAGCGACGAATCCTGTGTTCCCATTACAGTGCAAACAACATGTGGAGTAGATGGCAAAATGAAGCAAGCCATGGATTGTCCATCTTATGTAGCCAAAGTCCAACGACATGGTGGCCAAGAACTGCAGATATTCATCTACCTGTAGCTTGCGGGCTCAAGTTGGCTTTCAATGTCATCCTGGGATTTTGATGAGCTCGACGAGCTGGAGAACGTGAAGAAGGGCTTTCCGGATGCCAGCTGCGACGAGGTGACGGACGTCACCGTGCCGCTGGACCATCGCTTAAGAATATTCCTAGTTTCGGACCTCCATGTGGACTACAAGCAGAATAAGGAGTGGGTGCAACAGTGTATAGACAACCTTTCTCATGAGCATGGTGGTGTGAACTACTATGACTGCCTCCTTCTTCCGGGCGACCTATGCACAGGTGCAGGCCTCTTCGAGGAGGTGATGCGCAAACTGACCCAGGCATTTCACCTGGTGTGCTTCTGCTTCGGAAACCATGAAGTTTGGACTCGGGAGAATGAAGCTGCCAAAGACTCGCTTGCGAAGCTCGAGCAGATCCACCGGCTTTGCAAGGAGCTTCACGTTTATACCAGCCCTGTGCGGATCAAGAGTGCCGAGGAAACCATCATTTTGCTTCCCCTGTTCCTTGGCGGGGATCCCCCCCACCCCCCACCCGATATTGGACCCCTTTTCAGATCCTTGTTTTGTGGTCCAGAAAAGGTTAGAGCTGCACTCAGAGTTGCACATGTCTTGATTTGGTACAACCCCTGACACAGTTTTGACTTGTCTCACATTGAACCTCGCATAAATCTACCACAAAAGAGGTCTTCCTCTTTTGGGAAGCCCCCTAGGTGGTCCTGGTACCACTCCAGCTGGGACAGGGAGCCGGATCTGCCGGTGGAGTTGCAACCGCCCATGGACCCCCAGCAGCGCATCAGCGACTTCCGTCTCTGCAAGTGGGGGGACTTGGAGGGCGCCCCAGGCTTCACCTTCGGCCCCAAAGGCCCCTGGGATGGATTTGTTTCGGGGGTCTGTGAGGATTGTTTGGGATGGGGTTGTTTTGTGGGGGGGGGGGGGGGTGGAGGTGACATTTATCTATGGAGCACATCCGGTTTCCAGGGTCCGGGCTCTTAACGAACACGTTGCACGCTGCATGGGGTTTGTCAGCCTCCAGCTTTCAGATTTAAATTTAAGGTTGCGTGGCGGGACCAAAACACTTTGCAACCGGTTGTTGTGTTTTGTTGCAAAAGACAAAAGTATTTGTATATTTGTATAAATGCATATATATATATATCTTGTATGTAAATATTGAATATACCTATATCTATATTTGATATATATGTATCGATATATGTACATATACATGTCTAGATATAGATATAGATGTATATAGAAACATACAATAATATGTGCATATATATATATGTGTGTATATATATATACACGTGCATACATAATTACACACACACACACAGATGCATATGACATCGCCATCTCAGGTGAGTTTATCCTTTGTGCATCTCGCCAGAATCCAAGAATAGTGGTCATAGTGGTGGGTTTTGAGTACTCGATGGCTTGAGCCGTAGGCATCACCTCGCCCCACCTGGCGGAGCACTTCGCGGCCCGGAACGAGGCCTGGATCCAGGCGGTGCTGGAGCTGCAGGCGGAGGAGGGCGGAGAGATCTTGAGCTATTCCCACTTCTGCCCAAGGCCCGGGCAAAGACGAGCGAAAAACAAAAAGCCACAAATGGCCGTGTTTCTTTTGATTTCCCTTGAAACCAACCCAAAAACTCACCCCCATGTGTGGGATAATTGATGGAAGGCTTGTGTCATACAAAGCTTGAGTATTCCCGAGTATGGCGTACCTATGCAAAAGATAGTGTTGATCCAAGTGTCAGTGTCTTCTGGTTTGATTGTTGTGTCAGGTAGTCTTCATTGTGTTGACCTTGACTTGGGCTGTATTCAATGATTCTGCTGGGCAGTTCCTTCACTTGATAGCAAACAGGAATCAGGGGCTGACACTGACCAGACTCAGGTCAAGTTACAATTCGTAAAGATTGTGCTGCACAGGGGGACCTCTTATTGGGAGATCAGCTGCGTTTTGCTGCTTCCCATTGAGCAAATCAAGTTGGCATGGCTCGTTGCAAAAAAGCCACCCATTCAGGAATATGCAAAGATCTGCCAGAACCAAATCACGGTTTCCTTGAAGGACAATTGCTTCGTTTTGCCAGGCAATAGCTCCCGTGAACCCCCCCCCCATTTGCATGTCAACGTTGTAGTTTCTCCAAGACGGGCTATCTCAAAAGCAAAATATCTATTGATGTTGACCCGCCGTAGGGCGGTGTGCTTTTCCAATTGGGAGCCCGCATGTGGACAGCCATGCACGTGGCCGACCTTCGTATTGATCCAGATTGCCAAACCACCCTGTCAGCCTGAGGCAAGAGCTGATCCTAGAGAAGCGCTTCACATACGACCAGCATGTGCCCAAGATCTCAGGCGGTTCAGCGACGTCAGCCTTTGACCTTTGCTAAAATGTTCGTTAAGTTAGGAGATCAAGGTGTTTGGAGAAGTGGACATCATGGTGTGGCATGGGGAAAGCTGCAGTTTTAGTGGTCAACTACCAGCATGCTAGAAGAGAAGTTGTCTCACATGACTAACCCGTGTTTCACATTCACTTAAATGAAGGTCCCCTTTGAATTGGTCTGAATCGTGTCTCCTAAATGCCTTCCAGGCTCGGACCTGTTGGAGGAGCAGATCCGGCGGATAAAGCCCACTTGCCACGCTTTTGGGCATACACACGTGGGCTGGGATACGGCGCCCAGGTGGCACCTGGCGAAGAAAGGGGCTAGCCGGTGAATGTCCGGCAACGAAAGTGGGAGAACAAACCACGGTACTTTACCTCGAAGAGTCTGACGGGCAGAATCTTGGTTTGCGTTCTTTGTAAGTTTAGTTGTCCAGTGACAGCCTTTGCTGTGCATGCCCACCTCAGGTTCTGGAGGGGATCAGGTATGTTCACTGGCCGCTGGGCAATGTCAAGGAGCAGAAGGGCCAGACCATGATGCAGAATCTGGGCGGGTTTTTGTTGCTCTACGACTCTGCCTGGGCACCCATCCAATTCACCCACTGGGCCTACTTCTATGACTACATGGAGCCCAGACAGCCGGGCTCCACTGCCCTGGCTCCCTGGGTGAGCTATGGCTATGTGGCCATGTACCCAGAGATGCAATCGGCCCTGGCAAAATGCAAGCTGTTGAGCGAGAAGGTGGACGGGCCTGATGGCATGTCCCCCTTCTTCCCCGGGGGGGCGCTGAACAACAACTCCACCTGGTGGAAACGCCATGGCTCCGCCAACGTGCGCTGGCGCCTCCCGCCCAAGCATTTGAGCCTGGAGGCATTCCCTTGCGAGTATGCTGACTGTCTTCTTTGCAACTTTGCAAGGGGACAAGGAGGAGGGGGAAAAAGCAAAAGCTCAGCCCTTGCAATTCGTGGCCAACGCCCCATGAAGCATGGCCTGGCCCATGGCCTCCATAGAAAAGCCGATTAAGACGTATGACTTGGCTGTGCAGGTCAAGCCTCAGACGGCGACCACCAGTGCTGGGACAGAGATGGTCTCAGGCGACTCTACGCAGGTGCGGTCATGATGCAAGCGTGCTTTGCATAGGGTTTGGCTGGCTGTACAGTGCCTGTTAAACTCATGAGCCAACATAGTGGAATGTCCCCTACCGTTTCGGTGGTGCAAATAGGTCCTTTTTAATAGTAGAGGATGGATGTCCAACATATGCGTCCTGCTGAGCTTGATTTGAGCGCTTTTCCCGGCTTGAGTTGCCTTTCGGGATGTTCTTGAAACATGGAAGTGGAAAAGTGCGACACCATGCGACACCACGTAGTGACGCACGACCATCACCATCAATTTCACCTTCGAATGAAATTCTTCCCCCCCCCCCCGCTGTCCTTGCAAGCAAAACTGTGGCCAGGTCACCCAGGAGAACTTTCACCCGCAGTCGGCGAGGTTTGGCTGCTTGGTGGATCTTGTCGAAGAGCGCAGTCGTTTGCCCCGAATGGCTCCAGAGATTACGACCTGTCTGGTTGCCATATCAAACAGACAACACGAGGGCCGGCTTCCCACGCAGTACGTGGATGAATGCTTATTTGACCTGTTGTAGAGCTTGCCGGCGAGTCCTGTTGAACTGTGGCAACGTGAGAGGTGACGGCACGGTGCATTTGTCGCTTACTATGCTTACCATTTGCCATTGCCAGGCTGAGCTCTCATGGAGGTTCCCATGAGGATGAATGCAGGACATTGGTGGCTTTTCGTTTGACTCCACTTTGAGAACGGACCACTCTTCTTCAGAGATCTTTGCGCTGAGGTTGCATCTCATGAACCCTTGCACAGTGCAGTGGAAGGACTTGTGGTGCAATTGTCAGCCGCCGGCCGTGCGTTGTTTGTTTTTGGCAGCAGCCAGGGCCCGATGCAAGAATTCGCGACCAAGCAACCATACCACCGAAGTAAGTGTGCTTGGCCAGTATGTTTTGAGTCATAGCTCATGCCAGGTTAAGGATGAGGCCCTTCAACAAAGCCGAATCTGCAAAGCATGTCCCGCTGCAGCCTTTCATGTGTTTTCTCCACTTAGCTGCCGCAGAGAGCAGCGAAGCGCAAATCCTTCAGCAACCATTGAACCATGTCAGAGACCGTCATTTAGATCCTCCCGAACACGAACGTTGTAGATCCGCCATGGGACGATGGGCGCCTCGGTGAGCGAGGAAAAGGAGGTGATCAGCAGTGAGGCCAAGGAGACGGAGGCGAGGGAACTGTCGCGGTTAGTGAGAGAAATCAGGAGACGCATGCGCTTCCTTAGAGAACAATTGGTGTAACTGTGCTTCTGTAAATGCCATGATTGTCATGTGTGGATGTGTTTGTTGGGTGCGTGTTTGTGTGTGCGCGTATGTATGTTTGTGTATGTTTGTTTATTTGCATATTTGCTTGTTTGTTGTTGGTGTGTTTGTGTGTTTGCGGGTTTCTGCGTCTGTGTTGTTTGGTTGTGTGTGCGGGTGTGTTTGTGTGTTTGGTTGTTTGTTTGTTTGCTTGTTTTGTGCAGGTTTCTATAGATGCATTTGTGCGTGTGCGTGTACACGTGTGTCTTTGTCTGTGCGGCGCGTGTGTGTTTCTGTTGGTGTGCGTGTGTGTGTGTGTGTGTGTGTGTGTGTGTGTGTGTGTGTGTGTGTGTGTGTGTGTGTGTGTGTGGGTGTGTGTGTGTGCGCGCGATTTTGTTCGCACCCCCATGTTTTGGGATGTGATTTGCTTGGTTGTTTTGTGCTGTTTGTTAGTTTGAATCAGTTGCTTGATGGTGTGTTTGTTTGTTGTTTGTCAGTTTGCCGGCTTTTGCGCTTATGAGACTGTGAGTTTGCTTCTATGGTTGGTTGTTTGTTTGTTTGTGTCTTGCTTTCTTGTTTTGGTGGGTTTGCTTGCGCTTGTTTTGTTTGGGTTGGTTTGGGTTGGTTTGGGTTGGTTTGGGTTTGCTCCCTTGCTCCCTTGCTCCCTTGCGTCCTTGCGCTTGCATGCGTGCCTTGCCTTCCTTGCTTGTGTGCTTGTTTGTGTGTGTGTGGGGTTGTTTGCTGATTGTGAGTGGTTTTTTCTGTGTGTGCGCGCCTATGTGCGACAATGTGCGTGTGTGTTCTTTGTTTGGCTGCGATGGTTTGGAATCCTGGAAGCCTCAAACACCATCAGCGGTTTGTCAAGCAAAGCCGTGAGGCAGGGTTGAGACAGGGCTGTTTGGTGCCGCTCAGGTGAAGGAAGCCTTACAGAATGCGGCCAAGCTGCTAGCCAAGGCCTTAAAGGAGCAAAACTTGGGCTGAGGGGCCGGCAAGCCAACAGTTCAAATGATGATTGCTCGCCTTCAGCCAGTCAGAGCTTCGGCACTGCACTCTGTCAAGATGCCAGAGCAACTGTCTTCCCTGATGCTTGTGAACACAGCAAGTGAAGACAACATCGGTCTTTCCTGTAACGGTGGGTTGGCAAGTGCCTAGGCAAGCCTGGTGGAGAAGCAGAAGGCTTGGGAGGAGTTTTGCCAGAGAGGGGGGCTCAAAGACATTTCGACATTTTGGTTTGCTCGCAAAAGACCGCCCCAATCAGTCTTTCGCTGCGTCCACTGAACTGGAGCATGTTGGGCGTTTGCTTCGGGAGGACCCCAGCTTCCCGCCTGGACAAGGCGCCCTTTGCCACGATTGGCAGGCACCTTGGGATGGCCAGGTCCAGAGTTCCGTCTGTTCAAGCAACAAAAGAAAAAGCCAGGACTTGGGAGAAAATGGCTTATGGGGAGCACCCCGTGCAGGGTAAGGTTGGCTGCATTGTTTCGCAGCCCTGGATCTATGGGTCCACTTGCGAACCTGGACTGGTTTATTGGCCCGCTGGACTGGCTGGATGCAAATGGGGGAAGTCGCGCTCCCGACATCCCGCTTTGCCAGGCGTTGCCAAAGGCGAAGTCCGGCCGATTTGCCACGCTGGTGCCGGTGGGCTCAGGGCCCGCATGGGCCGCTCTTTCAGAACCGCGAACTCAATCGTTCCAAGTCCAAACCACATGTTTGTATTGTACTGGGAGTTGCTTTGGCGAGCTGCGGCGAGCTGTTTCAGCGACTAAATGCTTGCCGCTTGTTCACCAGTTTCGAGTTTTTGCCCGCCATTCAAGGGTCAGCTAGCCCTGAAAGAGACGTTGCCAGTTTCCCAGGAGGCGAATCTGCGCTCCGAGGTGGTGCCGTTGCGAGGAGGCCATGGGAGCCAAGCAGGCAGCCGGATGCTTTTGCATGCCGAAGCATATTGCAAAAGGGAGCGGCTTTTCGTTTGGACCGAAAGGACGGCCAATTGATGCGATGAGTGAGTATGGTGCCTTGTTCTGTTCAAGGGGTTGGGCCATCAATTGGGTGAAATCAATTGGTTGCTCGTGGGCGGAGCAGCGCAGCCTCGAGAGGTGCCCATTTTCCCATCAACAGGGCCAGTGCCCACGGACGTGCGCCAGGAGAGATTGGCGAGAGTTGCGGGGGGGTTCTCCACCCGCAGCCAAAATTAAGCCTGAGCCTGTGGTTTTCGGGAGCAGCGTTCTACCCAAAATACGTGGAACATTTGTTTGGTTCCTGTTGTCCCCTTTGCAAAGGACCAGTTTTCTACCCTGGGCTTGACGAGAGTGGAACGACAGATGGAATAGAAGGAAACGAGAAGTGCGCCTTGCTTGGCCGTTGGGGGGGGGGGGTCGGGTAAGACGAGCAAAGCCACGTACGGTGCAATGGGGAAGGCACACCCCAATGTTTGGGCATGCCAGGCCGTTTTCCCAAAGAACAATCATTGACTAGACACTGCAAGAATCGCATGTCTCCTAGCATTGCCTAGCAGAAGGCCCAAAACAAACAACCCAGCGCCCTAAAATTCAAAATGTGTGGCTGCAAATTGCTGGGCTTTCCCTTTTCGGCAGGGCATGCTCGGGGACTGCTACTTTCTGGCAGCTCTGAGCTCCATCGCAGAGGTGCAGTTCTAAGAACGCAAATGCGGCGGACCTGCAGGTTGGTCATTCCCACAAAGGGTGCCCGTTTTTTCGACAACAGTCACTGAATTCAGTCGTATTTCATGGATGCGGTTTCGCAGATCGACGCATTGGGTGGCGCACCATGGGGTAAGCCAGTCAAGAGCTGAGTTTGGCGTCTCCAACATTTCAGCTCAAAGTCCCTGAACGCCATGGCCAGCAAGCGCAAGACGGTGCAGATGAGCCGTAAAAAGGTGAAGACAGGCCGCTGCTGGGGGCTGCACTGCAAGTTCTGGGTCGTTGGGATGCTCGATTGGTTTGTAGGGAGTTGTGCAAACTATGCGTGTGAAGGTGTGGGTATATGGCAAGAATGTCAATTGGGTCAATTGGGCACTTGTATTTTTGCTTGCATGGGAATACGTGTCCACCAGCCATCCTGTAGGATGTTCCAATCATGAAGGAATCCTAGCAAAGCTTGCCGTGTGGTTAGAGACAGTTCCAGGCGCACCTTGCGCGCATTGGCTTCGCTTTGCAGGCGGCTCCCCTCATTTGGAAGTAGTAGCTCCTGGCAGCACCGGTCTTGATGCCAGACCCTTGCGGTGGGCTTAGTGCCGTTGCATGGGGGCAGCGGAGAGCGGCAAAGGGTGCGAACAGTGATGACCGCGCGAAAACGCGGACATGGAGCACAAAACGTCGGCCATCGCTCACAACCCATGCTTGAAATTGATCGCATGGCGACCAGGGCGGGCACAGCGTCAACCTTGTTTTGCCCCGGCCACCGAGGCGTGAATACGAGCCTTGCCAGAAGTAGCAGTGTGAGCTTGGCATCCTGCTTGCCAATGAACCAAGGAGAAGGAAATGCTGCAGGTTGTCAAAAAGGGACGCTCGGCTGGATGCACAGGAAAGAATGGGTGGCAGTTGCAGTGTGTGTGCCGAGTGTGTGCGTCCGTGTGTTTTAAAGGGAAACCCCACAACAACAACAAAATTGGCACAAAGCACTCATTGCGCTTTTTGGGTGCTTCCTTCGCGTTGCATTGTAACATGAGACGTCGCTCAAGAGTCAGACAAGGACTTGTTGGTCTTTCCTGGACCGCTGATTGCGAGTCAAGGTATCATCCCTGGATGTGTGAGCCTTGTGTTCCACAAGGACAAGGCGCCGTGTCAGCAACAAAAGACTTCTATCTTGCCAGCTGGTTGCATCGGAATACATATTTTCCATATACATGTACAGATGCAATGTATATATACATATGTGCATGTATGCACACAGTTTCATTGTCTTGACGGCGACTGCCAACGAAGAGCTCGCTCCATGCTGCACACTGGCTCGAACCACAGGCGTTTCAGCTGGGAAGCTGGGGGCTCCGTTAGGTCAACTGGCAAATTGCAGCTGAACCTCTATTCGACTTCTCGGCTGTTTTCCTGGCCCTCAGAATTCCGGAGTCCTGTCCATTCCGACTTAACTGATCGCCATGGCCAGTGAGATGAAGACTGCCTTGGGCCATGCAGGCAAGGATGCTTCGAGGGGTTGCTGGTGGACTTATTTCCTTTTGCTGGGATTTTTTGGACATCCGCCTGCAACAAGAGGGTGTTTTTTGCGCATGGCCACCGGGCAGCTAAGGTTGCCGCCGATTCATTTTGGGTGTGTCCATGTTGCCCTTCTTAGCGGGGATGCTGGATCCTGCACTTTGTGGGCTGACCCGTAATTGTGGATATGCTCGGGGCTGGTTGCTTCATTGATTTGCGGGCTGCTTCAGGAGCTACACATGTATCGCTGTATCTACTACATTCTAATACCATGACCCTCCTTGGCAAATTGCTGTGGCCTCGCCACTCAGCCCATCACCGCCACCAAACTGCGTGAAGGGGTTAGAGCTTACTCTTGAACCCCCTTCCGGGACTCCCCTTACTGGAGCATGAACTGGCATGAAGGGACCCCTGCATGTAGGTAACCGGTCCCGTTGTGTGCCAAAGGCCGGGATTAAACTGTCAAGAGATGGCTTTGCTGCTTGACAGGCGCTCCCCACGTGGAAGTGGAACTGCAGCTGCCGCCACACCGCGTGCAGGCCTTGTGTTTGTCGACCTGGGTTTTCTAGTGACCGACTTGCCTTCCGTGACTGCCTGTGCGAAAAGACTGAATTAGATGAGATTGCACCGGTTGCAGGGCGACATATGGGTAAGGTCAACATATGTCAACATGCATTACCTGCGTTCCGGGCTGGTTGCATGTGAAAGATATGCGCAAATGTGAGGGGCTGCTCGTGATATGCAAATGGTCCACACTTGGCACCAGCAACCCCAAATGTCAAACCCAAAGCCAAAAACATCACTCCACACTACTAGCTATTAGGCTGCTTACAAACCAATAGCCCGACTTGTTTTGCCTTGCGCTTTTTGACTGGCCATCCCTTTGGGTGAAGCATGATTCAACATCACATGTACCGTTTGATGTTTGTCTACCCCTTCTGGAACTTGATGCTCGGAAACGTTCGATATCATTTCTAGAACCCCATGTGATGCATGTTTGCAATCCCCAAATCCGAGGCCAAATTTGAGGTTTGTGCTGTCACGGGGGGGGGCCAAATAGCGTGAGCCGGAAAAAAGGCGCTGCAGACCATGGTGAGCTTCACGGCCGGGGCGGCCTATGGGCTCACCTCCGTGGCGGTGGGCCAACCCCTGGACACCGTCAAGACCCGCATGCCCCGCGACTTCCTAACTCCCTAGACGCGCTGTGATTGGAGTTGCGGGGGGGGGGGGGTGGGGGATATGGAAGGCGGGTGGGTTCAAACCTATGAGCATGGCCAACGGAATGAAGGAGAGGGCCATCAGTCATACAGCCACTTGCGGTTTGAGTTGGTGAAAGTTTGTTTTTTGGTTCCTGCTTTCCTCCTCGTTTCAGAGAAAGGCCAGAAAGTTTGAAGACCATAGAGTCGGGAGAGTTCTCCAATTTAATTTTGGAGCTCCATCCCGCTTTCGAGCACCCTTTAAAGAGTAATTCTCGAGAGCGTCGCTTGAATAAACCTTGAAATGGGTCCAGGGCTCCAAGTTGTAACACATCCCCTCGTTTCTAAAGAACCCGCAAGCAGAAAACATGCGGGATGGCTCCTTTCCCGGAACTATTGGACCGGCGGAGGGGATAGTATTTTACCGGTGGGAGTTGAGATGTTGATGTTTGGTGACATGTTCAAAAATCCAACATCTTGGCGCTGTACTACACTAATAGCGGAATACATTTGAATCTTTCGTTCGGGATTGGGCAATGACCAAGGTTCAAGAATGAACCTGCGGCCAGGTGTGCAAACAAGGCCTTAGAAGCGTTGCCTTGCTTGGCACACGTTGAGACCTGACAAGCAGTCCCAGGGCGGAATCGAGCACCAGACGATGCCCAATAGCCCACGTCCGTATTCTCCCAAACACCATTTGTAGTGCGGGCGCCGATGCAAACGCAACAATCAGATCCTATAATAGATTGGCCAGCCTGCCTTTCTCTTCGGGCAACTCACTGGAACTCGTGAAGTATCTTGTCGTAGGTCGTTTTGTCTGCATGCAAAAGCTAGGGTGTGATGCAACCATTGGCGCAAACACCAGAGAGGCCAGAATTAACTGCTTCCTCGATTTGTCTCACGCGGTCGTTCTGGGGTGGCTTCAACAGCATTGAGGCAAGCGCGGCCAGACCTTGCATCTTCCAGCGCCTGGCGCGTTGCTTGGGACTTGCTCCGCACGCAGGGGCCAGTGGGCCTCTACCGAGGAGCAAGGGCCTGTGACACCAGAGGGGGAAACAAACAGGATCTGCAGAATGTGCCCTGACATGGCATGGCAACCCAAACCCACAAGGTACAAGGCACCAACTTGTGGAGGGCGACTGATTTGTAGATGAAAGCCAACGAATGGTAAGTGCAGCTGCGGAAGTGGCGCGAGGGAACACAGGCCGCGTGCTTGATGTGAGCTGAGCACCACAAAAAGCCAGGGTTGAAACAGTGACCACTTAAGTGTGAAGATCCAATCGTCCAAATATGTGGCACTTTGGCTGACGTTTGCCGTTCGTCAACTTGTGCGTATTTGCACATCAGCAGCCTTCGTCCCAGGAGGTTTGCCTGTCGTCCTTGGCGGCACAATGTTCCGCTCAGCCCAGTTCGGGTTCTACGAAGCTGCCTTGGGGACCGGTGGGCAAACTGCTTGCAGTCCGGTTGTTGTGCAAGGTCACGTGTCTAACTAACTGCCTTTACTCGAAGCTTTGTGCCATGTGCGCAGTGCTGATTGCTTTTGCAACTCCAGGAAATTGCGCAGCACAACGCCGACCCACAAGTTCTTTGGGCTGTTGGACTGGCTCTTCGGCTGCATTGCACCCTTGTGGGAAGGGAGCAAGCCCTGGTTGCTGTGGGTGAAGCAACCGCTCGGGCTGCATGCGCTTGTAGTTTACCGGCCCGGAGGCAGGTGGCGCTCGCTGGCGCCGTTGGTGGCATTGCGCGGGGTGTCATCGAAGTGACTTGGCTCGGACTGCATCACACTGCATGTCGAAGTCAGGGATAAAAATCCCTTTGCGAGCCGAAGCCGGAAGCCAAGCGGACTTTGAGCTTTTAGATATACGTTCCCCTTGCCGAACGAGCTTTTTGGGTTACGGCTCCATGGAGGTTGGGGATGTTGGGGCATGGTGAGCCCTTTGCTGCCGTTTGGGTCGCCAATGTGAGAGTCGCCCAGGCCCCATTCGACCAAGTGAAGGTTTGCCAGCAAGTGGAGCATGAGTGGAGCATGAGGCTGGCTCGGCAAGGCAGATGGTCGGTAAAATGCGTATTGTTTGCGTGCCCAGAGAACGGACATGGTTCTGAGTGTGTGTGTGTGTGTAGATGGTCGCGAACACCGTCAACCGACACACACAATGCAATGCAAGCGAGTCGATCTCCCCTACTTGAGGCTGAACTGTCGATGAGCCAGTTTGCCCAATTTGCCACGCATGCCATGGAATTGCGCTCGGTCCTGCCCGGCCAGGACGCTGTTTCAAGGCT